AAAGGAAGGATCAGTAAAGAGTAACTTACTGATGGACGTCAGGATGGGTTTCTTCCTCCATTTCTCATGTGTAAGTACGTGCAATTAAAGTTGTTGCCTCATTGACTCTAGCTTGCAAATGTATTTAGTTGTGATTTGTTACTTGTAACCGCGTGTACTGTATCAGGTTAACTCGCTATATTCTCATATCGCGTGCAAAGCCACGTTAAAAACGCGACACGTGCTGCTTTGTTTACGGAGCTCCGTGGAGGAGGGTAGTGTGTGTGCGTGCGTGTGCGTGTGTGCGCACGCGCAAGGAAGAGTGTGTGTGTGTGTGTGTGTCTGTGAAAAGAGCAGAGTGAGACAAGCTAGAAGATCTCCTCAACAGTTTTTGGAGTTTTTGCTCAATAAAATAGTTAGTCGTCTGTATTTACATTGACCCACTGGCAGCTAAAATCCACGCCTTACACTATCAAGCGTGTATGAACTGTGATTACTTTTATATTGCTGATTAGCTGTTGGTCATTTCACTCTTTCACTGAAGGCAGTCGACCAATCGCAACAGACTGTCATCGGTCCAATCAGCGCAGATTAGCTTCGCGCTAAGGAGGGGTTTGGGAACAAATGAATCACTGGACGATTCATAATGCAGATTATAAGACCAAGAAAGTGTTTTTTGACCTTGCATGCATATTAGACTGTTGTTGGAGACCCTTACAACCAAGATATGACCCTATTTCATGTATAATATGGGCTCTTCAAGACCAAAAATGAGGTAAGAAAGTTTTTGGGACTGACGGGATGTTATAGACTTTGTATAGGTTATTATAGCCTGTTATAGGTTTTGTGCTTATTTATTTGGCCCTCGTCAGCTCATTGACTGATCTCACTAAAAAGGAGAGACTGGACATTGTCCAATGGTTGGAGCAGTGCTAAAAGGTCTTCTTAATGGTAGAATCTATACTCTGTGGGGGGCTGCTATTGCACGCTCCTGACTTTGCTCTTCTCTTTCTATTGCAGACGGTAGCGTCCGATTGGGGTCTGGGGGTGGATCTCTCCCAGGAGGTTGCAGGAGTGTAATGGCTGGTGCTGTACATTAGCCGTAAACTCAGTAAGAGTGCTTCCCTGAGGCTGGAGGTGGGAGTATGTGGAGAGCTGAGCATGATTGAACACCCAATGAGGGGTAGAGCGGGCCAATCAGAAGAGAGAAACACTCGTTTTAAGGAGGAGAGAAGGTGCAGCAGAGAGGTTCAAATTGGCCAAGATACGAATTGTATTTAAAAACTTTTTGCACAAGTACTAAAAACTTTAAACATTTCTTATAGAATAGCCAGTGTGTACCATCCAGAGAGCCAAGAAGCTTTAGAATGGTTCCACCAGATATTAAAGTCAATGCTTCGTAAATACTGTTTGGACACAGGGAAAGACTGAGATGAGGGTACACCTTTAGTGTTGTTTGCCATAAGAAAAGCAGTCTTGTATTTAGTCCCATTTAGTGTTTGCTCACTGGAGGTTACCTTGCTTACTGGTCATAAAAAGTGATGGTACTGCTAAATTTTGCACTGACTACAGAAAACTTAATGCTGTGACTGTCCCTGACTGTTTTCCCTTTTCGCACATGGAGGACTGCATAGGTGATATTGACTGCAACATTCGTCAGTAAATTACTGTAAATACTGGCAAGTTCCTCTCACAGCTCATGCATCTGATTTGTCTGCTTTTGTGTCTCTGGAGAATTTTATGCAATACTGTGTAATGATTTTGGCATGCGTAACACCTGAGCCACATTTCAGAGACTCATTAACTGTGATGATGTCGTGATTTATTCCCATAGCTGGGCGAATCATATTTCCACTCTCAGGAAAGTATTCACATGTTTTAAGAAAGCATCCCTCACAATTAAGTATACCAAATGTGATTTTGAACAAGCTACAGTCACATACTGAGATGACGAAGTGGGTCTTGGTCAAGTGTGACCGGTGAATGCAAAAGTAAATGCCCTTGCAGAATTCCCTATTCAAGCTTCGTGGAAAGAACTGCATTTGATTTTTAGGAATTTTGGGTTAAAAATCGCAATTTCTGAAAGAATTCATTGACATTGCTGCTTGGTTCATTCTGTAAATTTGCATGGACGGACGATTGTAAGCAGGTGTTTGAGAATATAAAAGCTGTCTTATTTAGCACAACTGTGTTGGCCACACTAGACGTAAAAAAAAAACAAAAAAAAAAAAACGTTCACCTTGAAGATTGATGCAAGCGCTGTTGGCGCAGTTGCAGTGCTCATAGACAACACCCATGGCATCGAGCATCCAGAATGTTATCTTTTTCAAAGTTTAACAACCATCAAGTAAATTACTCAACCATTTAGAAGAAAACAATGGCATTATTATGCAGGTTTTTTTATGTGTATGTAGGTTTAAGTAGTTTTCCAGTTATTCTGTTTACTGACCATAATCATCTTGTATTTTTAGACAAAATGTACAATCATCAAGACTGATGTGCTGTTCAAAGCTCGCAGTGTTGCAGGGAGGATTGATTAAATTATCTGCATTTATTTGTAAACAAAATACATGGATAGATGAGGTAAATAAATACAGATATACAGAAAGAAAACAGACACGCGTTTACGTGATCAGGGTTGTAAAAATCTGTAGCCTATAGATACAACCTTTGCCTAGATGGCCAAAACTTACTATAAAGGTTTTGTGCTTAATGAACATTGTCAGAATTGTTCATAAGAATTGGTACCAGTGTAGTCCTTTGAACCATAATAAAATGTTTTTGAATTACATACCGGTCAACCCTCCCATTTTCCCCTTATTTTACAATTCTATTCTGCTCTCATCTCGTAAAGGTATTTTCCCATATTTCTCACGTATTTTTCTTCTTTCTACGAAGGGTGGGAATAAACATTAAAGAACTGATCCTTCCTATATGCAACTCATACCACCGATTCACCAGGTGATACCTCTTGCTCTTAAATGTAAATCTGTTTTGGCTTTCATTTCATTTAAGCATGAAAACAATTATGAAAAAAAACTGCAGGACTCCCTTTCTTTATATTACAGGCGCCGTTGCCCCTCGTCACAATCCTCAAAACAGTCAATTCATGTTGTGGTGCGTGACAGTCAGACACGATTCAGAGTGATCAATAGACGGATTCCGTACACGTGGGGCAAATGCAGACACTCTTGGTTTTGGGTGCGTCCCTTATTTTCACATCCCACTGTTAATATGTGTGGTAAATGACTCTTAATTTCTTGCAATACACCTTACTAATGCCCGTTTTTATGCTTTTTAATCAAAGTACAAAGCACTCACATGGTTTTAGATGCAAATTAAGCTTTGGACATCAAGGATCATTTGGTTATTGAAAAACAAATCAAGAAGCTTTACTGCAAGGTGTAATTTTATTTTTTCAGACGAAGAATGTCACATCACTACCTATTTTTGCCTTCGGATTACTGTTTGGATTTGTCTGTTTATTATATTGTCAGCCTGTGTTTCTAACTTTTGCCTGTGCCTAAACTACTGACTTTCAGCACGTTGTACTGAAACTGATTTTTACCACTGGCCTTATTACACTTCTGCTAATGGATTCAACTACCTGTTCTAGTGAGGCACAGTTTAAAAATTTTAAGTAACTAATATTTTTTATGGAAAGTAAATAAGAAAAGTAGGGCCTGAAAAAAACTAAAAAAATGTACATAAACAACTAAAATTTTCTGTTTGCCCAGCCTTTTCTGTTAGTTGTCTAGGCAAACTGGATGCAAGTGGATCCAAATGAAAGGTCAGTCTAAGGCCAGGCATACAATGCATGTTTTTTATACGATTTCAGTAATGCATCAACTCACACTGCACTGGAAATTTATGGTATAATTGTTCAGCAGCAACTTAATTGCTTAAACAGTTTAAACACACCAAAATGAGTGGAAAATATATATTTTTTCTTTAACAGACTATTTAATGGATATAAAGTATGATTCTTAATATTTTCTCAATTGCACAGTTAAGTTCAAACTAATTCCAGAAAAAAATGTTAAGGGTCCACAGATCATGCTCACAAGGCATGCTTTTGGACTAGATATAGACAATGAACCTAATAAATACACCTCCGTTTGCTGGGAACTTTTAAATCAATTTCATATATAATTACACAGTTTCATATAATAAATCTTCTATTTTTTAAGTAACTTTTGATTCCAGCCCTTTTAAGCTCCATAAAATGTCTGGATGCACTTCAGGACTAAGGTGGATTGGAATCTGCTTCATTATATTTGACCTGTTTGAAACTGTGTGGGCGCTTGACTCAATTAGACGAAATGATCCAAAGCTGTTCTAAATGAGCAATTTTAGAAAAACAGAGTGGTGGGAGTAAATGGTTAGGGATACGTTTGCCAATGGTTTCAAGTATGATCCCTCGAAGAAGTGATCCAAGACATAAAGAGCAACAGTTTCCAACTACACTCCATCAACACTGTCCTCTTGAGTAGTGCCAGGGGACAGCTGCAGCTGCTAAGAATAAAGAGCTTTTGACAGGTAGCCTAAATTGTCTGGTACTGTGCCACATACAGTACATTTGGCTTCCTCTATGGAGGTCATTTAGGAACACATTTGTGATGACATGATGATTCATAAAATCAGAGAAAATCAACAATTGCCTAGTGCAAATTCCAATTATTTTGTGCGACTTCAGTACTGCTTGGTTTTACTGCAAGGTGCTAGTTGTTTGTTCAGAAATTATAAAAGCTATCTAATGCTTTGAATGATTAGATATTAAGAACAACTTGAGAAAATGTGACCCTTGTTCAAAGTTAGAGGACCAAGTTAAACCAACAGTTTTCAATGTTTTGCTATTCCAGTGGTTCATTACTTTATTACCATAACCATATGGTGGGCTTTGGGTACACTTTTATATTTCTTTAACAACATATATGCATGTTATGATGCAACATGATGTTTCAAAAGGATGCAAATCAATGCAACACTGACAAAATTACTGGAGTGAAAATGTATTTTACCTTCTCACCCCGTTCACCTCTGTCACCCTATTGGGGGAAAAACAGTGATGAAACAGGCATATAAAAGAAAAAATGCATTCAGAATGGTGATACCATAACAGATAACAATTCAATTAAAATATGTAAGGCTAATATATGATGCTCATGTTACCCATACTAAATCATAAAGTCTTTAAAAAACATTTGGTGTAGAACAAAATCTGCTGTCAGACCTAGCCTGGGTAATTGGGAGCACCGTAGAATTTCTCATTTACATATATATATATATATATATCAGGAATTCTACGGTGCTCCCAATTACCGAGGCTAGGCCTGACAGCAGATTTTGTTCTACACCAAATGTTTTTTAAAGACTTTATGATTCTGTTATATATATATAGCTCTAGGCTACCTGCACACACAGCCATTATTTATACTTATTTATTTATTTTTACATTCTTTTCATTTATATTTTTTTCTTGCAGTTCCTACGTATATACTGTATATTGTTATTTCACCGCAGCCCCAATCAGTTTTTTTACAATCTTTTCACATCCCCTCTCAGCCTGCAGGTTAATGATGACATTATATCTTTTGACTTCCCTTAGTAATGACACGTTGCCTAAAAAACATCCAGTTCTCTGGAGGTTTTAATAACATAATTTTAATTTAGTCAGTCTTGAATTTAAGTGATCAGTACATGAATCCCACTTCAGCTTCGTTTGCTTTGTTCAATGATCTGACAAACTTTGATTTTATGAAATAAATAATAAACTAGAAACATCTGTTTAACAACTAATGTGAGATGTATTGCAGATGAACAAACACTCTAAAACATATCTTTCAGATGTAAATGCACACATCAAATAGATGTGCATGAGCTATCAGGGATGATCTATATCAGAGAAGATTTAGGCCTCCATAAATAGAAGAAAGGACATTTTTATTCAAACATTATGTGCTCCAACATTATGCATTTTATGATTTTAAATAATATGGTCATGATAATTGATATTTGACTTTTGTTATTGAGACTTTTTAAGTGGGCAGTAGATAATATCTTAATGGATCTTGTGAATATGGATTTTTTTATTTCTCTCTCTCTCTCTCTCTCTCTCTCTCTCTCTCTCTCTCTCTCTCTCTCTCTCTCTCTTTATAAAAATATATATATATATATATATATATATATATATATATATATATATATATATATATATATATATATATATATATATATATATATATATATATACAGGGCTTGACATTAACTTTTTATATCACCAGCCACTGTGGCTTGTAGATTTCCAACATTACTAGCCACTCGCCATTTTCACTAGCCACACTTTTTTTGTTGGGAAATATATTTTATATGCATAAATTTGAAAGATGATTTGTTTTAGATGTTGTGTTATGTCCATAACATGCCTGCTTATTCATTTAACTTCTTGTTTGTGTTGTGTATTAGCTTGCTTAGTGTGTATGAGCAAATGGGTTGTCGCAATGCAATTAGTTTTTATTTCACAGGACTTTTTACGGCTCAAAATTAAGGATTTACAAAATTTTGCTCTGACCACAACAAATAAGTATTTCATAGCCACAATGTTTTAATGTGTCAGAACAATGAAAATATAGCATTATAGGTGCATTTTGTAATGCAACAAAATTTTTCTTTAAAAAAAAACAAACATTACATTTAAATTATTGTCATTACAAAGTATTGTCATATATCTAAAATATGCACAGTAATTGGTCCTGGCTAAAAGTCCCAGATCAGCAGTTAACTACACATAAATGGGGAGTAATCTCCCATTAAAGCAATGTTATTGTAAAAATATAATTAAACCATGTTAACAAACATAACTAAGCAAAAGAAAGCAGGTGAAACATAATGAAAGGATGATCACATGCACACGGTTAATATAGGCCTGTTAATTTGTTCAAAGAACACTGAAAAAAAAATATTCAGATATGAATCCTCGGATTTACTCATTTTTTATGTTAAGTGGCTGTAAACAATTTATTTGGACTGAAGTTAAACCAACAAATTAAGTTGAATTTTATTAAATTTAATTTGTTTGTTTAAATTTAACACAAATAAATAGCTTGCAACAGTTTTTCAGAGATAATTTTTTCAGTGAATAATTAAAATGAAAGCAGTGACTGCTGCTTTTAAAAGAACATGTGTGTTTTTTTTTTTTTATCTTGAGCTCTCGAAAACAGCAGGACTGTGGGTGCACAATCATCGCTGTTTGTTTAGTCTATTTCAAAGGTAACCGATAGCATCAGTTGTGCTTCCTCTAAGCATGGGATTCAAGCAAGTAAACGCGAGTAATCATCCTCGCCTTTGATATTTACCTTCATTTTTGCTGATTTGCTCATGCGAACAATATATATATATTGTGGAAGAAATTGCCCCCAACTTGTCACAAACCTTGATGCCTAAAATAGGGCTTAGAATAGGGCTTTCAGTGGTCCTCCTTTAGCAGGCTTTGGTGTAAAATAAGCATTGGCTACCTTTACACTTTCTGATTGATAAATTTACAAAAGTGTTACAAACCTTAATGCCAGGAATTCCATCTACTCCTGGTGTACCAATATCTCCCTACAAAAAATAATAATAATAAAAAAAAACACACACAAAGTGACCTGTTAACAACACTCCTTTAAAAAGTCATGTGACACACATCAATTCAGTCAAGCAGCCATTGTTGCCAAATTGATTTATAAAGTTTAACAGTAAAATAAAGATTGAAATGTTTACATTTATTTTTACTACATAAATACAAATAAAGTGAATCAGGCTTAACCCTCTGGAGTCTGAGGGTGTTTTAAGGCTCTGGAGAAGTTTTGACATGCCCTGACATTTGTGTTGTTTTCAATATTTTGAAAACATATTAATGGCTAAAGGGTGATAGCACTGTAAACAGCACATGTTGGGATACAATAATACCTAAGCAGCATGTGTGTATGTGTTTGTGTTTTTTAAAAAAACAATGTTTATGCGTGGTTAGTGAAATACTGTTGAAGTCACAATGTTGAAGTCACTGAAAAAAGGCTGTGAAACACACAGAGAACATTTGTGCACAAGACTTTTAAGAACTGGGTCTTGAAGCCAAGTGTTTTTTCTTCAAAATGATGTGAGAATCATCTTGTTTACTTGCTCACAGAAAACAATATAATAAATTAAAATTTCCAAGTCACTTTTTGAGTGAAAATGGTTTATGCAAGAAGGCGTGAACTATCATTACTATGCAGTGAGTCACACCTGAGAAGACAAAGACCTGCATAATGAGCTGCATAATAAGCCATTAGACAGGTGTGTGACTAAGAGGGAAGAGTTTTAAGAAGGAATCAGAAAAAAAAGTTTATGTACTTTTTTGTGTGCAGTTTATTTAAAATATATTAATCACAAAAAAAAAAAACTTGAGATACACTTGTGAGAGTCAATGCACTCTATAAAACTTTGCAAACTTGATAAACTTACATATAGCAAATCTACTGAAATTTATTTTTGTAAATGAAGTTTTGTTGCAAAACAAGATATATCCATTTAGAGAAATGTTGGTTATTTGACATTATTATTTAAGACATCAACAGTCAAGTTCATTCACAACCGTTATACATGAAACTATTACTTGAGCTCAGTGAAGTCCAGGAACACAATATTTATGTCCATAAATAGTTCATAAATAAGTCAAAAATAAATAAAAACATGCCAAAATGCAACATATTATCTTAACATTGTCAAACATCTTAAATTGGTTAAAAAAACAATACATCATAAATATATGGAATAGTTTATACAAAGATTGAATAATAATAAGATTCTGAGTTAGTTTTGGTAATCTCATATTAAAGCAATGTTATTTTAAAGAATAATAATTAGTCCATATTAACAAAAATAACTGTGAGCAAAAAAAGCAGGTGAAAAACACACCATCTGCGGTAATGAAATCTTTTAAACAGTCGCGCACATCACAACAGCTTTTGGCGCAAGTTATCATCCTCTCATTCGGTATTCACAGAAATTTTTTAAAGAATAAACTTATAAAGGACACTTAGAAATGTAGCCTTGCAGACAGGTATCCTGTGATGGGAACACAGGAAAAAGGCAGTATTTCACAGTAACCCCTGGCCTTGACATTCTTGACATTAGCGGAGACTGACAGACGCAGGATTAATATGTCTTGGTCCATTTTTGTAGCGTTTTTATACATTTTTGTGAAGTTGAAGGCTACATCTTTATCTAATAGTTTGTTGGTAGGACACAGACTAACATTACTCGCATTACTAAGCAAACTCGGAGCACATCTTTTAAACAATTGCCATCTGAATAGGGATTTAAACACATTAGCCTAAAAATGTCTTGAGAATATATATTGTAAATTGACGATTAACCCCTTGGGGTCGAAGACCGCATATACGCGTTTTGACCTATGGTGTCGTCAAACTGCTGAAATGAACTTAAATTACACTTTCAGTTTTGATCGTACAGATGAGATCAATACATAAACCGAATCTGTTATGTGTCTACTTTTAATAAAGTAATCAGTATGAAACCAACGCTATGTCTAGTTTCTCAGTCTGATCTCGTTAGTTTTATTGCGACCACGCCCACGAGGCATTGTTATTACAAGCATTTGTAGACACCTGCAGACTGAATTCCCTATTCAGATGGCAAATGTTTCTCATGGAGACATCTTTAAAAGAAAATCCTACCTCTAAACCTGATCAAAAGCATGGTAGATTTATGGAATCATTGCTGGTGCATTTATCATAATGACAACAGCCAACTTAATTAGACTACAACACAACACAGAAGAGGTGGCTTTTTGATAGCTATAACATGGACAAGCTTTCTAGAAAAGAGTCCATTTTAAATTCACGACATGAGACGAAGAGTGGCCACTTGGAATTTTTAAAATCCATTTTTAGATCAACCTTCTTAGAGATGTGGATTTCGATGGAATAAAATCACCAAGTAGATAACTGAGTTTGGTCATTTTACCTGGGTGGTTGAAGAAAAAAAACAACATTCTGACAAAAAACATTCTGGATTTGGACAGAACGAATCTCTCCTGCAAATTTTAAAATCTATTATGCCTCCCTAAAAACAATTACCATTAGAATAGGGCTTACAGTGGTCCTTCACTAGCGGACTTGGGTGTAAAATAATTATTGACTAATTTTACACCTTTTATTTCAATCCAATATATATAAAGCTTTGAGATGATGGGCACATATATTTATCATAAGCTTCAAATGAGCACAAAAATTCAGTCAGTATTCCAGAAGACATTAATTTCTGTTTGTGCTTTCCTGTTTGATTAATCCGTCAGAAGGATTAGATTTTCAACTTCTTGGTCAGACACTGTTATTTTATGTCTATTAGTAATGAAACAAAGTTCAGTTCATTCATGAAAATTTGCGTTTCTATAATGTTATTATTATTAGCAGTATTATTTATTATCTGCATTTTTATATTTGTTTTTATAAAAAACAAGTTTAGATTTGTCCACTTGTGGTGTTTTGGAGACATCTGCATCCCCATATGGGCATAAAAATAGGACGTGTGTTTGAATACATCTCAGTTTTTGATTACACTTCATTATTATTGTTTATTTGTTAGTTTGCTGGGAATTAGAACTGAACTTGAAATAATTTTAAAAAACAATTTTTTGTGCTTAACAAACTATATTAAGTATGTAGGCTAATACATTTCTTCAGCGGAGTGCGTACAACATCGTTTCCTTATTCTAGAAAGTAAAGGAGTAAAGTAAAGAGTAAAGTAAATAGTAAAAGTAAAGAGTAAGTAAAGAGGCCAAATAGAAGAGACTTGTTCTTTATTATCACACTCCAGATGCTCTGTTTAACTGTTTAACGCTAATGAAGTGTTCAGTTTTTCCACTTACAAGGTCCACCATGTAAATAGCAAATACGCCATGGCGGGATGCAACTGACTTTTTAAGGGAATGAGAGATGAGACTTTGATTGGTTAATACATGTTATTCTTAAAACACACCCTCATTAAGATAATAAGCACAACCCTGTTTGGTCATGCGCCGTGGCACAAATCAGATTTGTCTGTCTTCATAATAGCAAAAGTGGTTTTGGACACCCCCTTGATGCTTTTGTGTCATGTACTTCAGACTTTGCGCCTATAAATATATACACACACACACACACATATCCATGTACATGTACTCAGAATGTGTCAGATAAAGTTGCGAGTTGTCAAAGTCAGCGCATTTCTCTGCCTTCCAGCATGAGCCCTCCAATGTTTCATGAAGTTTGATGTGTTTCCAGCTTTATCACAAGTTTTGTAAAGTGACTGCTTCACGTTGTGTCAGAATCCTTGTGAAATACTACTATCCTTTAGAACGCTTAGTTTAAGCAAATTTGATGAAAGCGATCATGCGTGTTGATTCTGAAGGTAGTCGCTCCGGCTGCCCTGTCCTGACCTGCGTGCATTTTGTGCGTTTGTGTGTCTGTCTGTCTGTATGTGTGTCTGTGTCAGGCCCGTGCACAAAGCACAGACCCTTACAGAGTCAGGTGCTCAACGCGATCGCAAAGTGAAGAGCAAGTGCCTCCTAAGAGGGGCACCTCAGCCAATAAGGGTAGAGGCCCTGGTCTGTGTGCATGCGCGGGTGCGTTTCTGAGCAACAAACCTGCCTAATCATTGTTGTCTGCAGCAACTAAATCAAAAAGTTACGAATTGCTGCGAGATTGCGTTGCACTCTCAGCTCACATCATTCAAAAGAAAAGGTAAACAGACTGGATTGTCTTAGCAACTGGATGAATGTAGAGGAGGACCAAGCAAAATTGTTTCTACTTTATAATTAATGTTCTCAACTCACAGCCGTACAACTTTACAATGAGTACAATTGTTTTTATTTAATTCTTTATTGCTATTATAATTTTCCATTTTCCATATCTGCAATGCCTGTATTTTGGCATTTTTTGCAGTCCACTTAGAATCCAACTTGGAATTTTTTTTTTTCTTTATTGGTATTGATTGTTTTAAAATTCAAATGGCATTAACATGCCTGTGTTTTTATTTCTTTAATAAATATGGCTGTGAAGCCAGGATCTTGATGGTTTATTGTGGGTATGTTGTTTAAATGAAGAAATTCGTGTTACAAGGTAAACAAAAATTCTAATAAACAATTATATTTAGAATTTAAAAAGTTTTTGTCATGAGTTTACATTAATTTTACATTTGAATTGCCAAAATAACAAGTTTCAGTGTTTTAATCGCGATTAATTTTCAAGAGAGTGATTAATTAGTTATTTTTTTAATCTATTGACAGCATTAATATAAATATATATATATATATATATATATATATGTGTGTGTGTGTGTGTGTGTGTATATACTAAATATATAAAATATATATATGTAAAATATATATATATATATATTTTTTTGTACAATATATTTTTTAGTTTTTTCAATTTGCATATCACAACAGATTACACAATTACAGAACAATAATCATGAAGGCACAGCAAACTTTTTACCCCCCATTCTCCCTCCCAACAACCCATTCCCTTAAAAATAAATAAAATAAATAATAATACGTAAATAAGTGAAATAAAAAT